TGAGAAATCTGCGTTTCAAAAAGCCGATATGGGTTGGGAGTGAGTCGGGGAGATGGGGTGGAGGGCCGGAGAGGTTGGGTGGGGGGCTGGAGTAAACGTGTTGAGACACGTATGGTTTTTACTTTCTTTGGCCTTTATTCATCTTTCATCCAGTTTTTTTTTTCGTGGTTAAGCCTAAAATCTAGCGGATCATCTTAATTTTAAGTTCTTTTTTTTTTTTTTTTAGTTTTTTAGTTGACCTTTTTTTGGCCGGAAGGGCGGGGGTGTCAAAGGTAAATGTTTTGTTTGGGTTAGTAAAATAATTTTTTTGATTTTTTGTTTGTTCGTGTGTTTTGGGTTTTTATTCTTTTTAAACCACAAATACTCATAATCACCCAAATGGGGCGTTTTGAAGCTTTTAAATACTTGTTAAAACAACTCAGCATCAATTGTCTGCGTTGGCTACATTATGTAATGAAAAACTTTCGATTCCAAATTGAACCCATTCTCACAATGCGTGAAGCAACGTCAATCCCAACATCCCCCTTGTCTCAATCCCACAGAATTCTAGTGTAGAATTCTGTGCTCAATCCACAAGGGGAGGCAACATCGTCAATGCACAAGGGGAGGCAACGTCAGTCCTCAAGGGGAAGCAACGCGCCACGGACCACGCCAAACCAGGTCGGCCTTTGCCACAACCACAGGACATCGATGAAGAAGAATAAAACGTTTATATTGTAGGCATGCATCAAGGAGGTTTAAATGTACGTGGAATTTATTCTATCTAAGGTTCTTGGATTACATACACATGATATACACGCTAGGCGCGGTTCGTCCATAGAGCACGGTCGTGCAGTGCCGCCCAAATTTTTTAATGTTCTATTACGAAAAGCACCACAAACATGAAATAAAAGAAGTCAGAAACAAACAGTAGCCAAATATAGTATCAAAACAAGGTCCTCGCTGGAGCTGTAACTGTCATTTCTGTGTCAAAAGCGCCCTTAAACATCTACTATGCCTTGCCAAAGTCCACGCGCTTTAACTAAACGTATAGTAATAGAATATTAAACATTGGCTATCTGACCTAAAAATCGCTCTTTGGGATAACCCAAGCGATGACGACACTCGTAGTGAGTTTGGCAGTACATTAATATTAATAAGACGGCACATTTCACATAATATGTATAATAACATAGCCCACAGCAGGAAGTCTAAAAATAAACGCGATAGCCTGTACACCAGAGAGTTAAACCCTCTCTGCTGTACACTATTCAATGCCAAAATTATGTGAGCCCCGGAACAATCCAGCGTTGTGCTCACTATTTTAAGCGACTCTGTGACCTTGAACCTGAGGGAGGTGAACGTGACATACTTAAGTCACCGCCCTATGAGTTGTGCCTTTAAATAGTTTTGTAGTGGAGTGTTGAAAGTTATTACTTGAGTGTTCAGTTCCGATGCAGGATGAACGAAATTGAAGTTTAAGTAACAGATTTAGTTATAGAAATCAAAACGACAAGTAAAAAGAATAAAAATAAAAGCACTAAGTCCTCCCTCACCAACCTAAAGATCCTAAAATTATACACCATCCCATTTACTATGCCCATGACTATTTTCAGCCTAAGAAAGCCCCTGATACACGCACCCCAAGGAGTAGCAACTGACGGGGTCAGGGAAGAAGCCACCAGAGGCAAGCGCAATGGACCTTTGGCACCAGCTGGACGACTAGGACTTCGCCGATGACCTTGCACTGCTCTCTCAAACACATGTTTAGATGAAAGAAAAGACCAAGGTGCTCAACAGCCTATCAAGGAGTGTTGGCCAACGTATACATCCAGGCAAGTTGAAAGTAGTGAAGCTAGGAAGGGGCTCTCGTGGCCTAGAGGTTAAGGTGTTGGCCTCTCTTTCAAAGGTCCCGGGTTCGATTCCGGGTAGCGACCAAAAAAATTTTCTTCTCTAAAATTGTCTCCTTTCACATCCTTTCCTGATCTCTAACAATGTTCTGTTGTCTGCTTTCATTTCCACTTTCTGCCCCCACCCCCTCACCTCCTTTGCCCCCACCTCTGGGCTCATGACTCTTTCTGCAGCCTTTCTACTGCTACTCCTTGGCTCCTCCTAACTGCTGTCTTTCTGCTACACCCCTGATCTTCTGGTAGGAAAGATCTACACCTAGCCTTCTCGGACAAGGGCGAAAAATCTCGGAGGGCCCGTGTGCAAGTTGCGCACGTTAAAGATCCCTTGGTGGTCTAAAATCGATAAGAGTAGGCTCCGGCCGCCACCCGAGCAAAATTCCAAATTTCCTACCAACGAAGAAGTATTAGGTGTGTCCCGCGCGCTCATATGACCTTATGCAGTTGCGAGCGCCGTAAAACCCTATACTAAACAAAACAAACAAGAAGCTAGGAAAAAATTTCAAGCCCTGCTGTGACAATGGAAGACATTCCTCTGGAAGAAGTGTACTCCTTTACCTGCGTACCGCACTTTGGAAGTGTCATGGATTATGATGGATGGTGAATGTGGAACGGAGGCAGATGTAAAAGCAAGAACCGCCAATGCAAGGTCAGCATTCAATCAACTATCAAAAGTCTGGAAAGCAAGCAACATCTCACTGCACACCAAGATTCGATTCTTAACTTTAACTCCAAAATCAAGTCTGTGCTCCTCTACGGCTGCGAAACTTGGACGACATTAAAGACAGTACTGAATAAAGTTCAGACCTTCATCAACAGATTTATGTTGAGTAAAATAAAGTTGTTCCCGTATCCGATCCGGGCATTGGTGATTGACCTGATAGTGAGACAACTTCCTGGGCCTTCAGCATATACAGTGGTAGGGTGATCAGTTCCCTTCCACGCCGCCTTTACTTCCCCAACTCGAAGTCAGGTAGCCATTACCTGCTGGAGGGCAGGAGGGGGCGGAAAAAAATCCTTGTCCAAACCAAGGCTCGAACCCGGACTTTCGGCTTCGAAGACGAGTGCACTAACCGTTCCACCACCGCACCCTTGTATGAGGAGATCCTTAGAATTAAGTGGCAAGATAGAATAAGAAATGAAGAGCTGTGGGAAAGGACATGATAAAAGGGTATAGAGGTAGAAATAAGACTAAGAAAGTGGCGTAGAACGGGACACACCCTCAGAAAGCCCAGCCGAAACATCACAAGACAGTCACTGCAGTGGAACCCACAAGGAGCACGAGGCAGGCGTAGGCCACAGGAAATATGGAGGAGATGTGTGGAAATGGACATGAGAGAGATGAAGCTCACTTGGAGCGAGCTTGGAAGGATGGCCCAGGACAGAGATAACTAAGGAGCTTGTTTGTGGCCTCCTGTCAGGGGTGAAAGGCATTGACGATGATGAATTTGTTCTCAGGTTCTTGGCTTACATACCCATGCATTTATACACGCACCCCAAGAAGGTTACAGGTTGTAAGGTCCTTGACGCACTCATAAACATGACCTACCAATGGGGGTACAAAGGCAACAGCACCCC